GTTGTTTGACAGGCCCGGGCTGGATTTGAACCTGCCACCTTAGGTGTATGTGGCTGGCACCTTAGCCACTTGAGCCACAGGTGCCGAGCCAGAGGGGTGATTTTTAATATTCTAGGTAGCAAAACAGGATGAGAGCCTCACTTTTGCTCAGGCTGGTATCAAACTCCTGAACTCAAGCAGTCCTCCCACCTTGGGCCTTCCTAATGCTATGATTACAGGTCTGAGCCACCACACCTGGCCTCCAATTTTTTAAATGTAACAGAATACTCATTTCAAATGCAATGTGAGTCACAGTGTAAAAAACTATCTCTTTAGGTTAAATTTATTTTGAGTTCAAATTTATAGTAAGATTTACAAATCACCAATGAGAACAATGAGGCCACTATGATGAACACAAACCCACAAGCACCACTGGCTGCCCACTGCAGGCTGTCACCTTACAATCTAGAACATTATCCTAGTAAACCAAGACAGCAAGAGAAACTTCTAGCTCCGCATAAAAAATAGCTTTGCCTTAGCAACATAAAATAAAATGTTTGAGCAAGCTCCAAAGTATTAAAATTCATTAAACAACACCTTCTGAAGGTAACCATGGTTTCTGATTTTTTTTTTTAATTTTTACTTTGAGGTAATTATAGATTTACATGTAGTTAACATTAGTTTTTTAAAATATGTCAATCTAGTATTTACAGGGCCCCTGAGGTTCTCTAGAAGCTGTGATCCGCTTTGATGGGATAAAGAATGATCATTTACAGACTGACAAGAACACAATGAACACTAAGACTTTGTCATGTCCCTGATGCTAAAAAAAAAAATAGTGATTTTAGACATTATGATTAAGAGAATAAACTTGATATACTGGTATTATGCCTTCTGTAAAAAAAAGGAGTTAATATACTATTTTTAGATTCAGACACTCATGCTGTTTTAGGCCAAGCAATCTAGGCCACTCAGAGATCCTGCTGTACCCAGGCTTTGCTCTGAGTTTGGCAACAACTTTAAGCCAAAAGCAGCAAATCTGGCTGGCAAGAAGATGTCAGGCAGACCTAGCCGTCCTATTAGCTGTTTGTTCTTCCTGGGATTCACAAAGAATGCCAACAGCCTAAACAAGGGCAAAAGTTGAATTGGAATTGTGGAGCTTTCTGTGAAAAAAGCCATGGTGACGTCTAGCATCCACCTTCCACCATCCCCTATTATCTCATAGGAGAGTACTGTGAGAAGAGTAAGATCCTCATCCTAAGAAGAAACCAGGTTCAAATCTAAGCTCTGTCACTGACCAACAGATTCTCTACCTCTCTGAACCTTTGTTTCTTCAGTTCCTAGCCTCATTTCACTTTTTAAAAAGTAGAGATGAGAATAAAACCCCATGTTTTTTTCTCTGGCAAACTTTATCAAGTACATGGCGGCCACTTGAGGACCTAACATCTTGAACAAACTAATCCTGCAATTTCTGCTTTTGTCCTCTTCTCTAGAAACTCTTCCCTAGAAAATTTAGCTCTTCCTATCATATAAAAAAACATCCCACTTGATGTGGACGATTCCCAGATCCCCATCTCCAGCCTAGGCTTCCTCCTTCCCAATGCTAGTCCCCAGTCTTCACTTGCCCACAGCACATTACCAGAAACAAAGTGCTGCTACTTGCAGAGCCACACAAAGCTCCAGCTCTCCTCATCACCCTCCTTGCACTCACCCTGTTTTCTCTCCCAGTTAATAATAGCTTTGCCATCAACCACCAATTCCCATAGGAAAACATGTGGTCTCTGCCTCCTCTCCATCACTTGCCCACAGTCAATGACTAGTCCATCTGTCAATAACCTGGCATAACCGTTTTACTCTCCAAGTCACTCCCACCACTCTGGTCCTGTATCCTCACCCTTGACCTCCTTATAATAGGATCAGCCTCCTTGCTTCTACATCTCCTATACACCCATCCTACCCAAACATGCTGCTACTAAAATTACCTTCTTATGGCTCTGAGCCAAAGCCACCTGCCTGCCTATTTTTGGAAATAAAGCTTTACTGCAACACAGTCAAGTCCATGCCGTTATGTATCATCTGTAGCTACTTTCATGCTATAATGGCAGAGCTGGTGGTTGCCAGAGACTGTACAGCCCACAAACGTGAAATCATTTCCCAACTGGTCCTTTACAGAAAAAGTGACTGACAGTATCTTCTGCTCAAAACTTTCCCAGGCCCTCCTTTCCTATAAGGTTTAAACCAGTATAAATGTCAGGCCAGGCATTTAAGACGCATCAGATCCCTAAATATTCACCACATGGCCTGCAGTCCCAACCCCTGCCCTGTCACCCCCAGACCCTTTACTCACTAAAGTTCCTGCCTCAAGTTGACCAAACACAGATTTTCTTCAGAATGACTTGCTCTCTCCACTTCCCCCAAGCTGCCAAGGCCCTCCTGTCCCCTTCCATAGCACTTACTGCTCCTGGCCTCCTGGCCAACTAGCTACCTGGTCTACTGGTTACTCAGGTTCAACTGAATCTTAAGTCACTTGGAGACAGAACTCTCTCCTGTTGCTTACCATGAGAAGTGCCACATTAACATTTGCTGGGTTAAACAAGTCCCAGTGCATATCTCCACACATCAAGAGCTTCTCTATACTTCCCTCCCAAGGTCAAATTTTAGGCACTTTGAGTTTAAGCGCTTGACCACTGCCTGGGAAAAATCTTTACTCCCTTCTGCTGAGAGAGAGGAAAAGGGATGTACTTGTCATAAAATGTTGAACCAGGATTCCTGAGGAAGGCCTCATCTCCTAGCACCTATGGTAGGGGTGGGTTGGCTTTCTATATACCAACTAAGAGTCATATCCAGATAAGCCACTTTTTCTCTACAACATAAAGTCTCTTCTTCTTTTCAGCAGAAAAAAAGAAAGGCTGGCTGAGGTGGGGTATGAGGCTTAAAGCTGGCAATCACAATAAGCACAACAAAATCACAAGCATGGGGGTGCAGGAGATGAACAGTATGAAATCAAAAGTCAGGCAAGACTCACCAGAGGAAAAGATATCAGCTCATCTGAATTCATAACACTCAGTTCCTTCTTTGAAATGGGGAAACTTGGAGGCAGGAAGTACCGTAAACAATTCCTAAGCAAGAAAGAAAATAGGGACAGGAACTCAGGAAAATATAGGGTAGGTTGGGAAGCTGCCCCTGGCCCTGAAGCAGGAAGACAGAAAATACACATACCGGAGGATCTGGACAAGCAGGTCAATGGTCTCATGGCTGGTGTTTGGGGCAGTGGTGTCAGGCTCAATGCCAATGCACTCAGAAGTGCAGGGCTCCACCATGGCTACCGCCTGCTGGGCCATCCTGGTCTCCTCCTCCTCCCCACCTTCCTGTTGTGTATCAGGGCTCTGATACTCTGGAGAAGGAGGCTTCATCAGTCGCACATCCTCACTGCCTTTCTCCACCCTACAGAAGACACACAGATTGTGTCACATCTACATGTATGGCAGGCTCTCAGGACAGGTAGGGGGACTGAGAAATCCTCCTGGGAACTATTGCTCCTCCTCAATGGGGACATTACCAGCGGTCTCTTGGTGTCGTGTCGGTGGGCACGTAGTCAAATTTCACCTTCCATCGCACAACATTCTTGCCCACTTCCACAGCTGTAACCCGGCCTGTGTACCACTCCCTGTTTACACGCACCTCCACGTGCAGCCCTTTATCTGAGAATTTGGACAGAGGTGTGAGTGAGAAAACCAGAGTCCTTTACTCAGCCAGGGCTGCCTTGAAAAAGGTAGTCCCCAGGGTTTAAAGGATAAGAACCCTCTAGGTGCTTGCCCCCACTGTATCAGGGACATGGGGCACAGCCACCTTGCTCTCCTTCCCCATTTGTTGCTAAGGGTGCTAAAAAAGCAAAAGTGCCTACCAGCGTGAACACCAAAGAATTAGTGTTTCAAATAACCACAAGGGGGAGCTAGCTTCAGATTTCTGTTTGGGATTAGGTTTAGCAGACTCTTCAAACCTTGGAGATTAAACTACTGCTGGTGACAGGCTCCACGTCCCCTACAGGAGAGTTTCCGTAGTGTAGTGGTTTTCATGTTTGCCTCACTCTTCCACCAGAGGGCTGTTGGGTACCTCCCCCAGACTCACCCTTCTGAGCCATCTTGAGCTCAGCTGAATCCTCTTCCCCAGCACTGTCTGAGAGCTGTAAGGAGAAGAGTCCATCAAAAGTATCCCAGGGCACCATGAGAAGCAGATTTCTATGCCACTGGCCACCCAAGGTCATCAATTGTAATCTTCACATATTCCTATGCTGCAGTTTAAATCACCAAGCTGCACTAAGTGCCACACTAAAATCACCATCTCAGGGCAGCCACGGTGCCTTATGCCTATAATCCTACCACTCTGGGAAGCCCAGGTAGGAGGACTGCTTGAGCTCAGGAGTTCAAAACTAGCTGGAGCAAGAGTGAGACCCCATCTCTACTAAAAATAGACAAATTAGCCAGACATTGTGCCAGGCCCATGTAGTTCCAGCTACTTGGGAAGCTGAGGCAGAAGGATCGCTTGAGCCCTGGAATTTGAGGTTGCTGTGAGCAGTGAGCTATGATGTTGCCACTGCACTCTTAACTGGAGCAACAGAGTAAGATGACTCTGTCTCAAAAACTAAATTAATTTTTTAAAAAATCACTGTCCAAGGTACAGTAAACCTTTATACATGCAAACAAGATAGCAGGAAAAGGACAAACACAGGGAAGCAAAATGTTTCAAACCCATCCCCCCATGTGCATCAGTGTGACTTTAGGCCTGTGATTAGCTCCAGAAGCTAGTCTCAACTCAAGATCCTACCAGGCACCCTGTTTCTAGTCATCTATATGAATGAGAATCCTTGAGATTTCCTTGAGAATCTTTGATCTGGAAGGCTCGTGTCACAAACACAAATAAAATTGTTGTGGACTACTGGTGCAGGGCAAAGGCCTTGGGAGGCTCTAGGAATCTCACCTCAACCACCTACCTCATTCAGGTCCTTTTTTTCCTCCTTCACAGCAAATTTGCCCCGCTTGTACTTCTCCTTCCTCCTCTCAGTATCTTCCTCTGCTTCTTCCTCATCAGAGACCCCAAGACTTCGCTTTCGACCAGGGGCAGCCTACAGCAAGAAGAGAGTGGGAATGGGAGGGGCCCTGTTCAGCACTCAAGGAGCAGGAAGATTTCAGCAGCTCCATCTAAAGGAGCTATTTAGAGAGGGACTTGCACTATCCTCAGCCCTCACCAGACATAATTAGGTATGTACACAAGCAACCCCCTGACCCCCATACCATGAGGACCTTTGCTCAGAACTGTCATGGAGAAAGCCTCACCCCATGTTAGCCTGCCCTGAGATACACTAACCACTGCTACAGTCCATCTAGACTGTCTTGTTACCAGGTTACTGACCTATGCCCATACTGTGAAAAGCTAGTGGAGATGACTCAAGTCTGTGTAGACCAAAACTCAGGCAGCAGTGAAGAGCTCCCTGGATAAATTTGCTCTGTGCCCCTGACCAAGTCCCTTCAGCTATCTAGGCTTCCACTCCTCTGGGCAGCAGAAAAGCTTTATATCGGGTCATCGTCCCAAGCTCCCCAGTACAGTACTGACACTGCATGACTCCATTCCTATGCCACTGACAGGCTGGGAGCCTGAGAAGGAAAAGCATCTCACTGGGGGGAGTTTAGTGGGTGGTTCTGGCTTCTTGACCACTGGAGTCTTGATGACTTTAGAGGCAGAAACCTCTCGGCTGCTCTTGGAGTTGGGCAGTGGAGATGGTGACAGTGGCTGCATTGGAAGGGTAGGCCGGGGAGCAGTCTTGACTGGTGTGTTCACAGGTTTTCGGGGTGCCTCAGGTGGCTGGAGCAGTCTTGATGTACCAGCCTCCTCCCGAGCTGCCAAGGCAGGGGGCTTTGGGGTGCTGCTGATAACATGAGCCTTTCGAGGCTGGCTGGCTGGTCTGGGAGTTTGCATGGAAGGGGGTCTGCTCGGGGCATTCCTGATCACAGCTGGTAAAGGGGGCGACCGAGGACGCTGAGGTCTACGTGCAGGTTCCTAAAAAAGGTCCACAGAGAATGAGAACACTAATCTCAGCATGAGATATCTTGGAGAAAAGCCCCTCCCCTGCCCCTGAGCTTCACCTCAGTGGAAGGTCTGGTGGTCACTTCCAAGGGCAATTTCTTCAGGTCAGCTTGGGAGCGTATAGGTGTGGTTTTCTACAGGGCAAACATGATGATAAAGTTGTTTGCATATCTTGGTACATTCAAACAAACTTTTTGGATCCCCATTTAGATGTCTGGGACAGTGAGCAAATAAAATACAAAACCTGGGCCACAGTCCTACTCTTAGAAGTCTCCCATTCTCACTGGAGAGACAACAATGCATAAACACTATACCATCAGAAAATTACAGGCCACTGTGTTATTAATCTGGCAACTAAAAGGCTGAGAAAAAGTATCATTGGAAAAAAAAAAAAAGGCCTGATGGGTGAGAGGAACTTGGATAAGGCCATAAGGAGAGATGGGATTCATTAAACCAGACAGGGAGGCACACGTAAGACATTACAGGTCAGTGAGAGTACACCAGCACAGATACAGAAGCCAGAAAGGGAAATAGTTTTTTATTAAATATATAATAAAGGGTTGATAACACAAGCAAATCTAGAAAAAGGAGACAAATTGATTAAAGAAAAGAATAAAAACATAAGTGGATAACCAATTCTAAAAGAAACATAAAGTGTATATATGACAAGTTGTCCTGTCTTAAAAGTTACAAAAGAAATTAAAATTAAAAGATGCTTATCTTTGCCAATCAAATTTGTAAAAACAATGAAAAATAATTTTCTCATATACTGCTGGTAAAGAACAGAAAATAATGCATCTTTTGGAAGGTGGTTTGACAACAGTTGTAAAAAGTCACAGAATGTTGCAAACCCTTTTACTCTTTCATGTCTAGACAATTACGAAGAAAATAAATACATACTAAAAGAAAAGTGTGTATCTAAAATACACATATGACATGATCTCCACGTTTCTATTAAAAATATAGGTATATTAAGAGGATGCCATGAAGGCTATGTTAACCTGTTTGATGAAAGTATTTCAAATTGTATATAAAACCAGCACACTGTACCCCATGACTGCATTAATGTACACAGCTATGATTTAATAAAAAAAATATATATATAGGTATATTTGTGTGTATTACATATAGGTATTTATGACAAGTTGGAAAGATGTGTGGTTAATGAGGGTTACCTCTCAGGTATGATTTTTATTTTCAACAGTTTTTATATGTTCTATATGAACTGGACCACTTCCAAATATATAAAGAAAACTTTTTTTGAAAGAATAAGCAACTATAGTTGAAAACCAGAGTGCCTAGACCTAAAGGATGGGATTGGAGCAAACACTGGTGAGTGAGTGGAGGGTGAAACTGAGTCTGATAGAACAGGGAAACCACTGAAGTTTTGGCCCGCACACAGGCTGGCTTTGCCACTGCCCATGACCCATGTACCTGAAGGGCCTCCAGCTTTTCCTGCTGCTGGCGAATTTTCTCAGTCAGCTGTTTCTGCTTCTCTTCCTGTGTCTTTGAGTCTTTTTTGAATGTTCCCAGGGGAACCTTCTGCTTCTGTTCAGAAGCCTCACACCTGTACAGAGAAGCTGCTAGGGAGCCTGAGGCAAAACCTCCTCAGCCAACTCATCTGTCTGTCTCACATGCAACCACTCAGAGAGCCCAGTGCATGGAATTAATATGAAACACAGACATCTATTATAAGAACATCTCTTCTTATTTCCTGGCCCTTACTATGTACACAAAGACAAGAGAGGTTAAGGACATAAGAACTGACCTCAAGAAGCATAGTAAGTTATGGACCCCAAGAGTAAACAGTGAGGGACAGGAGATAGATGTACATGCAACCCCCTTGTTGGAAACATGCTCACCGGTCCTGCTCAGGATCAGGGTTCATGGAGCAAACCCAAGTGTCAGGGTAATCTTTTTCCACAGAACTCAGCTGGAAGGGGAGGGTTCTCCACTTTAGACACAGATCTACAAAAAACACAAAATTACCCCACACAATGTCAGCCACTTCCACCAATGATATCTATATGATCCAGGTTCTTCACAGCCAGGCCCACAGCTTTTGAATACAAAGATCTTCACTCTGGTGCCAATGGGACCTCTCCTTACAAAAACAGTTATACTTCTCATGGATGCTGATTCTAGCAAGGATGGAAACATAGTATCATGGACTCTACACTCCCAGCCCCTCTCCCTCTCTAGCAGAATCCTGGCTCAGTAATCTGCTCATACTAGAAACAACATGGTATCAAACCGATTGAACCTGGTGGCCCAAGCTGCAGCATGAGAGACCTAAGAGGTTAGATGACCTTCTGCCTCATTCAGGAGAGACAGACCACACTGGGAACTACACCAGAGCTATCACCAAAAAGACTCAGATTCCTAAAGGGACCACGAGTCCATGAATGTCAGGGGGCTCCAGTGTAGAGGTAAAGATAAGAAGGTCATAGAGTGACAGAAAGGAGTCAGGAGGAGGGTTCCAACTACCCAACTCACCACACTGGATGGTGGTCGGGATTTCCATAGCTCTCCGGCGTTTATAACGCAGCTCACTGGATGGGGGCTGGTTCCAATTGGCAGAGAGGTAGCCAAATTCATCCCAGAATTTGATGATACCCCGCTGGGCTGGAAGACAAGCATACAAACATCACATTAGAAGCCAGTCTCTTTCTCTTCCTAAATTCAGATGAAGGGAAAGAGCAGAGGCCCAGCAGCCCAGCCCCATTACCAATAGCAATATCCTTCCAGTACTGCGCCAGGTGCTCCCCCATAGCTCGCAGTAGGTGTCGGTACTCCTTGGCATCAGCAAAGTCCTGCTTGTTGTGTGTAGGCTCCAGAACCAGATAGGGCACATCAACAACCCCAACAACCCCACCACAGGCCCTGCAGGGAGAAAAAGAATACAGCTCTATCCTCCCACTGGCCAGCCTCCCGCTATCCATCTTGGACTAGAAAACTCTCCTTGGGCAGTACTCACATGCCCCCTTCCAGCTGTGGACCCACTTTCTCATACATCTTGATCAGGCGGCTACAGTTGTAGATGAACATGCCATCAAGGTCCCGGTGTTCAATGTTCACCCCAAAAATGAAATTCAGTTCCTTAGGTTCTTTAAGTGCTCTAAGACCAAAAACAAAAAATAAAAAACAAAAAAAATCAAGCAGATCTACTTATTAGCACACAAATACCAGGGGCTATAAGATATGTTAACCTTAAGCTCTTAAGCTTAAACTTGAGACCTGTTAAACAAAGATTTGCATCTTTATTCAATGTGTAACCTCTATTAGACTTGACAGGGATATTTGCTGTACCCTGACTCTATGCGTCCCTAACTAAAAACACATGACTTTAGCTTTTCAGGAACAAAACAGAGAGAGGGTGAGGTATAAATGAGTTACTGTGAAGCTGCTACAAACATAATTAAACAGTAGAATAAATGCAAGGTTAACTTCATACCATTCCCAAAACTCCACTAAGGGAACAGTAGATTAGTTATTTTTTTTTAAAAAAGCCAAAATTCACAAGAACAATAAAGATATGAGATAAGACATCATCATGTGAGTAATGTCAACAAAATCTTGAAAGCTGAAAAGCAGATGGATGAGCAGGAGACTGACTTAGGAAAAACCCAAAACACATGCCTGCAGCAAGGGCAACAGCCATGACAGTAATTCAAGCCCCAGTCTTGAGAGGCTCCAGACATGTAGGTAGGACAGGATAATTTAGTAACCTAAGACAAATGCTCATTCTGTACTTTAAAAAAAAAAAAAGTATGCAAAACTCAATCTACAGCATTATTCCACACCCATAACCAGTGAGGGGAAAATGAATATAACAACATATATAGTTTTCCATGTATATGGAATAAAAAATTAAGTTATCAAGTAATAGAAGTATAATGGAATTTTATATTTTTATTTCTTAAATGTTTTATATTTTCCAAATTCTATATGATCATTTTATGTATCCTTTAAATGAAAAGAAAAGGATGGCTTGGCGCCCGTAGCACAGCAGTTACGGCGCCAGCCAAACACACAGAGGGTGGTGGGTTCAAACCCAGCCCAGGACAGCTGAACAATTATAACAACAACAAAAAAAAATAGCTGGGCGTTGTGGCAGGCACCTGTAGGCCAGCTGCTTGGGAGGCTGAGGTAAAAGAATTGCTTAAGCCCAAAAGTTTGAGGTTGCTGTGAACTGTGATGCCATAGCACTCTACCCAGGGCAACTAAGTGAGACTCTGTCTCAGAAAAAAAAAAAGAAAAAGAAAAAAGAAAGGAATGAAAAGAAATAAAAAGGGGGAAAAAAAATGAGACAGTGCCAGTGAGAATGATCTGGTGTTCAAGTGCACACTCTGCTCTGCCTTTTCCTAACTTAGCAAAGAGCTGAGAATTTAGGGTTAAGACTTCTTTTCTGCAAAAGGCATTTAACAAGCATTTGGGGTCACATTAATGGCTTTTTTAAAGCAGTTTTGGTGACAGGATAGCAAACTACTAAGAATCAATACAGAAGTCACAAAATTTTTTTTTTTTTTTTTGAGACCGAGCCTCAAGCTGTCCCCCTGGGTAGAGTGCCATGGCATTACAGCTCATAGCAACCTCCAACTCCTGGGCTCAAGCGAGTCTCCTGCCTCAGCCTCCCAAGTAGCTGGGACCACAGGCGCTCGCCACAACGCCCAGCCATTTTTTAGTTGCAGCCATCATTGTTGTTTGGCGGGCCCGGGCTGGGGATTCGAACCCACCACCTTAGGTGTATGTGGCTGGCGCCTTAGCCGCTTGAGCCACAGGCGCCGAGCCAAGTCACACAATTTTAAAAGGCCAAAGGACATGCTGGATGCTCACCGCTGCTTGGCCTCCTTGATCCTCTTCTTGACATCAGCTTCTCTGCGCAGGGTGATAGCTGTGTTCTGCACCTGTCGCAACATCACCTGGACACATACGTCAACATGCGGTGAGAGGAGGATGAGTTCTAGTCCACAGCCGATAATATTACATTACACATAACACTTCTCACTTTAACTCAAATGGATGCAAAACCACACCTGGCAATTTACTTCTATAACAACCGACCTTCACTGGTGATAAAAAGAAAAGTTTTGTTTCACTTATCCAAGTTTTCATGGCATGGACTCCTAATGCCAGAAATGTTAGAGCATAGCTACCTTATGCCCTGTCCAGGGCCTTACCCTAGAGTCCCGAGTGAGGTCTCCACCTAGGCGCAGTTCTAATGTCCGAGCTTTGCTCTCTGCCTCCCGTGCCTTCTCTTCAGCTGAAACCCAGAAGAAACCATGATGAGGAATGCAAAGGTTCAAAACTCTCTGTCACCCCTCCTGGATCCACAGTGTCGTTCCTGCTGGACAAGGAAGTGTGTGCCAGGGGCTCGGTGCCTGTAGCTCAGAGGCTAGAGCGCCAGCCACATACACCAGAGCTGGCGGGTTCGAATCCAGCCCAGGCCTGCCAAACAACAACGACAACTACAACCAAAAAATAGCCAGGCTTTGTGGCGGGTACCTCTAGTCCCAGCTACTTGGAAGGCTGAGGCAAGAGAATCACTTAAGTACAAAAGTTTGAGCTGTGATACCACAGCACTCTACCCAGGGCAACAACTTGAGACTCTGTCTTAAAAAAAAAAAAAAAAGAAGAAGAAGAAGTATGTGCCAGGGGTGAGAAACCTGTCGCCTCGAGGCCATGTGGCTCTCCAGATCCCCAAGGGGCTGTCAAAAAATAGGTAGGCTAGGGGAGCTATGGCTAACAAGCAACACAGGACAGCCTCTGAACCTGGACTGCAGAGTTCATTCAAGAAGGAAAATGTGGCATCCAAACCTACCACAGAGGCACCAAGGAAAACCTGACTTATTTTTCAAACTCTTGAAACAAATCACAACAGCTCAAAAAATGCCCACTACAACAAGGGCTTTACCTAACAAATGAAAATATTGTAACCTCATTGTTTGTACCCTCATATTAATCTGAAAAAAAAAAAGGAAATGATAACTGCTTAATGAGTAGAATGCTTGTTAGTTTTTTTAATGCTATAAACATACATGCTATAAATACTGTCATGGGAAAAATTACCCAAGGCAATCAGATTTAAATCCTCAGTATTTAGGCCAGAGGACATTGTGGGATTCTTCACTCTGGGTAAGCTACAGAGTTAACACTTTCAGATAAGACCCTATAAATGGCTGAAAAGAAAGAGTTTAGAGAGAAAAAGTACTGAGGGGGGTAGTATGTGAAGGAAGGGGTTGAAAAGAAACCAGACCATGGTTCGGGAGAACAGCCTTATCTCCAGATGGTGAACAAAGGCTTTTCCTGGATCACTGCTTTGGCCACGAGCAGTGTTCCCCAAATGACCTCCGCCCTGGCCCTCCACCTGCACAGGGAGTGGCATTACCAATCCTTGCTACGTGCTCTGCTTTCTTCACCTCCTGCTCTGCACGCGTCTTGAAACGGCTTGACGTGTACTTGTACATCCTAAATAGTGGAAAAATCAACCTGAGGGCCCAGGCAGCACCGGGGCAGGCAGCCAACCTAAGCTCAAGAAGAGAATCCTGCCTTCCTGCCTCCTCCCAAGCTGGGCCGGCCCTTTCTGATAAGACTAATCCAAGCTCACCTTAGCAAAAAGATCCAGTCCCTATTTCACTTGCTCTGGCCTCCTACTATCTTTGATAGGCAATCTCACTCACCAGGGGTGTCACTAATTCCATAGGAGGAACAAACTGCTGTAGTAAGCTGGGGCCTTTGCTTTCCTGTGTGGTATCTAAAGGCCTCTCGACCCTCGGCCTCTGAAGCTGAGACTCAGGTCACTATGCCACTCCCAAGACACCCTCCTTGTCACAGAGGCACTCACATTCAATGAGCTTAGTTCACCAGCCTGCCAGCCACCTCTGTCCCTACCTCAGGATTCAGGAGTGATTATGTGATCGGTCCTAGGCAGTATTTAAAGGCCCAAACATAGCACTATCAGAAGCCTCTCGTACAGCATTCCTCCAACAATGCCCCAGAGAAACATGGCCACATTCTCAGCCCATGGGCAACATCAGGCCAGGTGTGCAAGCCCCTACCTGGGTTTGTACAGGCAGCAGGAGAGCCTCTTGGTCTGCACCTTATGCCCATGGATGAAGATCCTCATCCGAGGATCAATATAGAGCACAGCAGCATAGGCACGGAATGAGCGCCGCTCTGGCTTCCTGGAGGCAGCAGAATAGAGAAGTGCTATCACCTGCTCCACAAAAAGCCTGACCAAGGACACACCATTCTCTCTATAGGCCTTCCACCCTCCCATCTCATGTCTCTGCTTCTCTTGCCACCCTGAGGGGATGTGTACCACAGGTGGGTACCATATCTGACTTTTCTAATGTCCCTGTGCTAGGAACAGGGTCCCTGCCCAACACCTGACCTGGCCCTACCACATGGAATCCTGGGCAATTCTTCTCCTCACTCTAGGCCTCAGTTTCTTCTGTCAAATTAAGGGGTTAGAGCAGAATAAGATTAATCTTTTAGCTGAGGATCTACCACCCTTCTAGTCATCCCTGTGCCTTGTAACAAGACGACATGGAGCTCTTAGCTCCATCAACTCCAACACTGCCACCTAGAGAAATCCAAGTAATGACTTCTCCCCTCTTTCCTTGAAGTCACCTCTTGAGAGAATGAACACCAGTTCTAGGGCCTCCCTCCCTTCCTAGTCACACTTACGTGCCCTCTGGAGAGGTCTCTGCCATCTGGATATCTCTTGGATTTGAGATTATGTCTAGTTCTGGCTCTCCATTATCCATGAGTTTGAGATTAAAGATGATCACCAGTGTTCCTAGGGAACAGACATCCTCCTTTCATCCTGCCAGGAAACCCCTCCCCATCCCCACACCACTCATGGCTCCACAGAATGCCTCCAGGGTTCTAGGGAATGCAGGCTCAAAGCCTACTTACCACTGTCCCCAGGAATCTTCATGAACTGGGTCATTACTTCCTCCTCATTGCGAAAGGGAGAGTACTTATAGATAAGTTCTGTCTCGATGGCAAACTTCTCCACATTGTCTGTGACAGGTTCCCGGGTCTGAGCATTCCAGGTAGGCAATGGGACTATCACCTTCAGAGTAAGCACAAGCAGACACTTTAGGGAGGCCCCAGAACAGCCTTTCCCAGAAATGTGCCTCCATTTTGTCCCTCCCCATAGTGGCTCCACACTGGCCCGAGGTGAGGCCCAAGCTCTACAGCCTAGCATCAGAGGCTCTGTGGCTTCTGTTCTTTCCAAGACCCAGCTATCTATCACTATTTCCTTCAGGACATGCTGGTTTATGCCATTGAGGTCTCTATGTAAGAAGTTCCCTGTATGGAATATAGTCAGTCATTTCCTTAATTTGGCAAAAATTCTCTTACGACTTGGGAAAATATATTTGTAATTATCTAGTGAATCTGAAGATATACATAACATAACCTACAACTCAGCAATTCTGCTCCTACATATATATATCTTAGGATAAATTTTTGTATATATGTACTAGTAAATATGCATGAAAATAACCCAAATATCCACTCTAGAGTGGCTAAATGAAACTGCACAATGGAATGTGTTATACAGTGATGAAAATAAGCAAACTAACAGCTACTAGCATCAACATGGAAGACTCTCATAAACACGATGTTACATAAAACAAGACAGAAAAAATTCTATAGTATGAGTTCATTTCTATAAAATCCATAAATAGGCAAAACTAAACTATTAAGGATGCATACACACGTGACTGACTACAGAGAAAAAAAAAGAAATGATCTTCACAAAAGTTACCTGAAGGTGGTTCCTTCAGGGCTGCAATGAGGAATACAGCTGATTATGGCACAAAGAACTTCTAACATCAGTCCTTGATGGTGGTGACATGGATGTTGCCTTTATACTTATCCTCTCAAATGTACATATATTTTAATACACTCTTCCATACATACACACAGAATTTAATTTTAAATAGTGTCTAAATAATGTTTTTAAAAATCCTACTGTTCTTCAAAATCCAACCTCAAATGCCCCCAAAGGCTTCACTGTATTCCTCCCACTGTCCCTGAGGCAGCCACCCTTACAGGGCCTTGCACAGCTGACTGAAGGGATTCCCCCTGAAAAACAAACCAATCCAGGTATCTCAGGGGTTCAAAACAAATGGTATACCTGAAGAAAAAGGGACTCTGTATCTTAAGTACTCTACTGAGCAACTGTTAAGAGTTCTGAGACATTTTGCTCAGAACTGGTTTCTAAGAAGCTTTGTGCGAAAGTATTCAACCCTCAGGCTGATTTGGACACATTCCTCCTCAGTTGAAAATGATTTTATTTTGAAATCTTGGCTGAGTCCACAACAGAGTGCAATCTGAAATAGTGACCTTCTAGCACCAAGTAAGGAAAAAAATCTCAACCTAGTTCTCCACCAGGGGAATCAAGTTGCCCTTGTGTTGTGACCCTGTACCTCTCTCTACACCTCCATTCTTAACTGCAGACCCAGGTGACAATAGCATCACTGTGTACTATGGGTCTTCACTCCCATAGGCACTCATCCCTCCTACTGGAAACTTCTCCTTTATCTACAGTAACACCACTCATCTGGTTCTCCTGCTTTCAGGCCACCTCTCTGTCTCCTTTGCTACCTTCTCCTCTTCCTTCCCTTTAGATGTTGACATGTCCTAGGTTCTAGATTCTCTTCTCACTCTATTCTCTCCTTTAAGTGACCTCAGTTGTTGCCAAGAATCCTAGAGCCCAGACCTTTCCCCAAACTCCAGACCCAGACTTCATTTTGCTCATCCAGAAGAAACTTAACACTTAGTAAAACTACTGGCTTGCCAAGTAAAGAAAGAAGGTAAAGATAGCCTGCCACTCTCAGCATGAATTTGTTTGCTATGATTTAGGCTCAGATCTAAAAAGGGCCCTCCACACTGCCCCTCTTCCATTCTTCCCCAGTCCAGGCAGCAACACATACCGCCCCCCCAAGTCTATCTACAACAGAAGCCGCGAGTCATCCATATGACATTTTTCTTCCTCTTTTCCACCTCCACTGACCAAACACCAAACCTGAGGGGTATTAAATCCCAAAGAGATGACTCCATCTATCCCTTTCACATCCCTACTGCAAGTCTCATCAAGTTCTACATAGCCTGATCCTCTCAACTGAACCTCCCTTCCAATCCAATCACCACATAATGACCACGTAGGACTTTTTAAAAAGAAAATCTGATACTGACATACCCTTAAAAAGTCCCACACACTCCATGAGGCCCTGAGGTCAAGCTTAACCTGCCTCTCCCTGCTCTCCAGAGGCTAGCACTTATTTCAGGTGGCCCTACTGCCAACTCCCCTGCCATAGTCCATAAGGCTTCAACCAAGTGGCTTCTCCTGACTTAAACACGCTTCTCTCACCTTCATTCCTTCATCAGGAAACATTCTTGAAAACTCCATCCCAAGCTCCATTTTTAGTCTTACCTTCTCTCCGAAGCCTGCTTTTTACAGCTGCAGCACTTCCCTCACTTTGAGTACACTGAATCAACTGCATACCAAACTAAAAGGGCAAACCCACTTGGCTTGCTAAGTAAAGACGGAAGGAGAATGGCTCGGAACCCATAGCTCAGTAGTTAGGGTACCAGCCACATACACCAGGACTGGTGGGTTCGAACCTAGCCCGAACCTAGCCCGAACCTAGCCCAAACCCAGCTTGGGGCTACTAACCAACAATGACAACAACAACAAAAAAATAGCTGCTGGGCGCTATGGTGGATGCCTGCAGTCTCAGCTACTTGGGAGGCTGAGGCAAGAGAATCTTAAACCCAATCTTGAGGTTGCTGTGAGCTGTGACACCACAGAACTCTACAGATGGCAACAGTGAGAGTCTGTCACAAGAGAAAAAAAAAAAGATGGAAGGAGAAGACAGTCTGCCACTCCCAGCGTAAACTGGTTTGTTATGATTTAGGCTTAGTTTGAATTCATCTACTATGTAACAGCCATGAATTTCTTTAAAAAAAAAAATTCTTTGTACAGAACCTCTTTGCCACAGCCCTCTGTCAAGCCCGGGCCTCCATTTCTCACATACGAAAGGATATAAGAATCTGGTCTAGGCTCGGCGCCTGTGGCTCAAGTGGCTAAGGCGCCAGCCACATACACCTAAGGTGGCAGGTTCGAATCCCCAGCCC